CTTGCAGCTGCAGTTGTATCGAGTCAGAGTCAGTCGTATAAGGAGTGTTTCACGTGACGTCATAGATCAGGTCACGTGTATTTGTTATGTGTCATGGTTGGCAGAAGCGAAGCGTGCTGCTTGACATTTACAGATCAATGACAATATGTTCTGATAGAAAGCGCTGTTTATGTAGTGCACGTTCACGTGCGTGCGTGTGCACGTACACGTGTGTGCGTGCGTGCGTGCAAACTTACACGTACGTGCGTGCGTGCGTGTGCACGTACACGTTCGTACGTTTGTGTGCACGTACACGTGCGTGAGTGCGTGTGCACGTGCGTGCGCGCGTGCATGTGTGCGTGCGTATGCACGTACACGTGCGGGCATGCGTGCATGCGTGTGTGTGTGCATGCGTGAGTGTGCAAGTACACGTGTGTGCATGAGTGCGTTGGTGCGTACGTGCGTGTGTGTAGAGGTACACGTGCGTGAATGCATGCATATGCACGTAGACGTTCGTGCGTGCGTGAGTGTGCACGTACACCTGCGTGCATGCATGAGTGCGTGCGTGTGTATGTAAACGTGCGTGCGTGCGCGCGTGCGTGTGCAAGTACACGTGCGTGCGTGCGTGTGTTGTGTACGTACACGTGCGTGCGTGCGTGTGTTGTGTACGTACACGTGCGTGTGCACTTACACGTGCGTACATGCGTGCGTGTGCACGTACACGTGCACGCGTGCGTGCGTGCGTGTAAACGTTCACGTGCGTGCCTGCGTGCGTGCGTGTGTGTGCGTGCGTGTGCACGTACACGTGCGTGTACAGGTACACGTGTGTGCATGCGCGCGTGCGTGCGTTTGGATGTACACGTGCGCGCGTGCGTACCTGCATATGCACGTACACATGCGTTCATGCGTGCGTGTGCACGTACACGTGCGTGCATGCGTGAGTGCGTGTGCAAGTACACGTGCGTGCATGCGTGCGTGTGCACGTACACGTTCGTGCGTGCGTGCGTGCGTGCATGCATGCGTGCGTGCAGGAGTGTGTGTGTGTGCGTGCGTGCGCGCGTGTGCATGTGCACGTAGACGTGCGTGCGTGCGTGCGTGTGCATGTGAACGTAGACGTGCGTGCGTGCGTGTGCACGTACAGGTGCGTGCAGGCGTGCGTGCGTGCGTGTGCACGTACACGTGCGTGCGTGCGTGTGCACGTACACGTGCGTGCGTGTGCACGCGTACACGTGCGTGCATGAGTGTGTGCGTGCGTGCGTGCGTGTGAACCTACACGTGCGTGCATGCGTCCGTGTGTGTGCACGTACACGTGCGCGCGTGTGCAGGTACACGTTCGTGCGTGCGTGCGTGCGTGTGCAGGTACACGTGTACGCATGTGTGCGTGCGTGCGTACGTGTATGTGCAGGTACACGTGCGTGCGTGCGTGCATGCATGTGCACGTACACGTGCGTGCATGCGTGCGTGTGCACGTACACGTGCGTGCATGAGTGTGTGTGTGTGTGTGTGTGTGTGTGTGTGCGTGCGTGCGTGTGTGCGCGCGTGTGCATGTGCTCGTAGACGTGCGTGCGTCTGCATGTGCTCGTAGACGTGCGTGCGTGTGCATGTACAGGTGCGTGCGTGTGTGCGTGCGTGTGCACGTACACGTGCGTGCGTGTGAACTTACATGTGCGTGCATGCGTGCGTCCGTCCGTGTGTGTGCAGGTACACGTTTGTGCGTGCGTGCGTGCGTGCGTGTGCAGGTACATGTGTGCGTGCGTACGTGCGTGTATGTGCAGGTACACGTGCGTGCGTGCGTGCATGCATGTGCACGTAGACGTGCGTGCGTGCGTGCGTGTTCACGTACACGTGCGTGCGTGTGCACGTACACGTGCGTGTGTACGTACACGTGCGTGCGTGCGTGCGTGAGCTTGTATCTGTAGCAGATTCGCTTTTAGGATCGTGCGTTTCTGTAGTGGGTGTTATAGTTTTATCTCACGAGAGATGGCGCTAGTGGGGGTGTCCCGCAATGAACAATTTGTGTGTACCCTCCGCGATGACAGTTCGAGATGGTAAAAACAATAGGCAAAAAACGGCGCGAAAAGGGAGACACGCGGGAGGTTATGGCGTATCAGCTGCGTTTTTAGAATGTGTCCGTAATCAATCGTGCATGTGCATAATTACTAGTGTTCGGGATTTGTGGTAGCAGATCTTCGTAGTGCGCGTACTAGTACTACTATTAGAGTCCCTATATACAGAGAGTTGCGCCATGACGAGTCGGAAAAAATCGGTCACGTGATCGCTGCCGGCATGTTGTTTCCAAATAGATCAACACCGCTGCCGCTTAAGTACAGCGCTGTATGGATACGCTGTACAATGGTCCATAGTAATTAATTAGACTAATCGTGCTTCAATAAACTCAAAAATCATATTAATCTTCACAGATTATAGCTAAGACATGTGTCTATGTGTATCTAGATTTATAGAACTGCAAACAAAATATTACAGCTGCGAGCGAGTGGAGAGTGGAACGCATTTATCTTGTGAATTAGCAGTTGTCATTATTCCTCCAAAAATGACTAGCCGCTGTGTTTACACTAAGAAAGTGTACAATTAAGCTATCATATGGCGCGAAACGATTTGAGTTACTTTTCTAGAATCTAGAACACATGTCTTAGCTATAATCTGTGAAGATTAATATGATTTTTGAGTTTATTGAAGCGCGAGTGGTTTAATTAATTAGCAAGTGTCTACGCGCGGTATCGCACAGGCTAATATACGCACGGCTATTGGGCGGTAAGAAAGTGTACAATTAAACTATCATATGGCGCGAACGATTTGAGTTACATTTCTATAAATCTAGCTACACATAGACACATGTCTTAGCTATAATCTCTGCAATTTTTGAGTTTATTGAAGCACGATTAGTCTAATTAATTACTACGGACCATTGTACAGCGTATCCATGCATACAGCGCTGTACTTATAAGCGGCAGCGGTGTTGATACATTTGGAAACAACATGGCGTCAAATCCTGAGTTGGCGCAACTCTCTGTATATAGGGACTCTAACTACTACTAGTGTGGTATGCTAGTGTGGTATGCTAGCTGGTGTTCATGTACGGAATACTGTAACGGATTCCTATTCCCTTTTACTTTACTTGACTACTCGAGCACTACCATTGGCCGTGGTATAGGTTCGGTTGCCGTTGTGTCGCGCACCCTGACAGGGCCGTTACTCCCCGTCCTATCTAGGTTCGATCACAAAGATCGCGACGAGGCAGAGGCAGCCAAACACCCGAACGCCGAGAAAGGAGGGGGGTGTTCCGGTCGTCCAGTGAGAGATACGAAGGGAGGGATGCCGGTCACGAAGTGAGAAGTAATAAGCAGTAAGTAGAAAGTAAGTTTAATATCTATTAGGTAACGCGTGCTAAAGTTAACAAGCAAGAACACATTAACCAACACAGCGACAGCAGCACGTTCGCTCCAGGCCAGACTCGAGTCATCATCGCGAGCGATTCGACGCGTAAGACCATCACGCCACCGTAACACGCGATCTAATAGTAATAATCACTACGTGCGATTTGAACCCCAGTGCCTATACATGACAAATAAGTTCGGATAACAGATCACTTCGCTATACTGTATAGACTGTCTAACGAGGGGTGTCACTTTCGGTGGCGCCCCCTGGTGTACAAAATATGCGAAAGCTTGGTTCGCGAGGCAATGTGAATTGAGGAACAACCCGCGAGTGTCAGTGTTAGCTTAAACTGTAGTAACGCGAGTGTAAGCTCACTGACAACCTCCGATGTGTCTGCGCACACTCACCGCAGTGACCACACACGCCAGCTACATATAATTATCACACCATCAGTATACATTCCCGTACATGAATCCTACAGTATTCCGTACATGAAAACCAGTATACCACACGCATACCACTCTAGCATACCACACTAGTAGTAGTACTAGTACGCGCACTACAAAGATCTGCTACCACAAATCCCGAACACTAGTAATTATGCACGTGCACGATTGATTACGGACACATTCTAAAAACGCAGCTGATCCGCCATAACCTCCCGCGTGTCTCCCTTTTCGCGCTGTTTTTTGCCTATTGTATTTACCATCTCGAACTGTCATCGCGGAGGGTACACACAAATTGTTCATTGCGGGACACCCCCACTAGCGCCATCTCTCGTGAGATAAAACTATAACACCCGCTACAGAAACGCACGATCCTAAAAGCGAATCTGCTACACTCCCCCCAACTTAAAATTGAAAGGCCCCTGCTCAATTTATACTACCAAATAAAAATAAAACATAGCAGATGACACATGCTATACTAACCACTGAGAACAACCGCACATTGTAAACACACACTCCGCTAAGAACAAGGGGCAACCGCCCAGCAGTAAACATTACAAAATAATGCGTCAACTACAAAATAAACTAATCGCGGGCACGGGGCGCTTAGTGGGTCCCGGCACTATGCGAAGTTCCTCCCACGCTGTGACGTGGCCTCCTCCAGGTCCACGGGTTGGTAGAACGTGCTCGCTCGCTCACTCACTGTTGAGGAGTGTTCAACAAAGAGGGAAGAGTTGAATGGCCCACGGCGACAGGTTGGCTTTGCTCTTTTCGGTGTGCGTCTTCTGCCACCCACCATCTGTGTAGTCGGTCGAGCGGCAATCACGTCGCCGGCGCTCGGGCAACAACACGCAACCCGCTCCTCGGCGGGTCTACATGAGCAAGGTGATATCTGCCCACACAGGCAGTGGGCGTGACCCCACCACCCGCGTCGATACTCCAGATCGACACGTGCCATCCTCGTCCACTCCGCTAACACATCCGGCAGTGTTGAAAAGGAGGAGTTGTAACCCTGCGAGCGTGATCATCACCCGCAGGAGACTCACAAGGCGTCGTACGCCTCGTCATTTCCTCCTCCCCACAGACTCGTACAGTGTTATCTCACCACAGGGTCGTACCCCAGTTTGAGCGATCCTAGTGCCACCGTAGAGGTCTCCTCTTCTTCCCTCCCGCTGCCACTCATCTGTCCACTGTTTGGGCGGGGCCAACCCGGTTGGCCTCGTCCAGCTTCCCCATCTGGGAGTCGCCCTCGGGGGCACCGTGCTTCCCTTTGTCTCCACGAGGCTCAGCCTCCTCATACTCTCTGCCTAAGCATCCCCGTCATCTCTGCTTCAACCCCCTCGTACTCTCCGCCTCAGCATCCCCGTTATCTCTGCCTCAGTATCCCCGTCATCTCTGATTCAGCATCTCCGTCATCTCCGGCTGTGCTGTGGGTGGAAGAAGTAGATCTGCTGGAATTTCCGCGATGCACTGTTTCGACGTTATGTCGTCGGCGCGGACCATTCCTTGGTCAGCGGGCATCTCGCTTATCTCCTCAGCGGGTTCCTGCCTATCCTCCACTACGCCCTCACATGGCTCGTCGCACCCACTCCACGTATTCTGCCGCCTGCGTATGCTCTGACGCTGCCGCCAGCTCGACCCCGCGTGCTACCAGGGCGGCGTCGGCATCTCTTCCAGTTGAGCAGTTCTGTCTCGAGGGTCACCGTTTTGGCCTTGATGAAGTCGAGCTCTACCTGCTCTGCTTCGACGAGATGGTTGCCTCGCTCGCCTTCCACGGGGGTCTCTGCTTCCTCTCGCAGCAAAGACAGCTCCCTCTCTGCCTCGGCGAGTCTCGATACAGCGCCCTCTAGTGCCGCCTCCCTCTCGGCGACGGAGAGATCCTTCTCCTTCAGGCGGCTCTCCAGCGTGCTCAGCGCGGCTTCCTTTTCGCTCAGCTCCTTCTGCAGAAGACAGTGCTCCTCGAG